AATCTGCAGACTGTACTTAAAGTTTTATCTCGAATCATTTAATCATAAGATTGGTTTGATTTTATGCACGTGTAGCAATCTAAGATCAATTTGTCAATAGAGGGGATACTGATTGACATTTTTGAAAAGAATTGTCTGCCAGTACTTTAATTCAGTTCAGTTTTCTTTGTACGCATAGCACCAAATCACAACAACATTCACCTGAAGTTACTTTATATTATAAGCTAGAAAACCTACAATAACAGAAGAAACCCCAACCATTAGACGACCCCCTTTGAGCAATCACTTGGCAACATTGGAAAGGAAAAACTCCCTTTTGACAGGAAGAAACCTCTGAGTGAACCATGGTCAGGAACGGGCAGTCATCTGCTGTGGATGGTTGGAGGAAATGGCAAAAAGAGGAAAGTGAGGATTTCTAGCTTTTCCTTGGGTACATTTAAAAGTTTTATTACGCTAGCCGGGCAGCTGTGTTCTTGGTTAAGATACTGAACCCATTTTCCCCCCGAGACATCGATCAGGGTGCGAGTATGTGCATGATTGTTAGAAGGGTTAACACCATCACATCCAGAAGGTCCTGGATTAGGATTTGCTGGTCAGATGGGGCTTTCCCATGTGGAATTTGCATGTTCTCCCTGCACCTGTGTGGGCTCTATATGGGCACTCTGGCCACAGTGCACAGACGTCCATATTAAATTAATTGGTGAAATAGGTGTGAATGCTTATCTGTCTCTCTGTGTTAGCCGTGCGACAAAATTGGCAACCTGAGCAGTTGTACCCTACCTTGGTATCGGCTCCAGCCTCCTGACCCTTGAAATAGATAATCGGAATAAACTGAATGGATGGATTTTTTAACTTTTGACCTGCCGAAGACATATACTTTTACATTTCCATTATTTTGACTGAATTGATGACAACATTAACTGATGATAAAAATATTAGATTTGTGGCCTCAATAAGATAAAGTTGGGAATAGAAAAATTTGAATAGATTAGATAGCAGAAATGTCAGGAAACAAGAGGGAGAGTTGAAAACCACAGTTGCGACAGGCCTCCAAACTTCAGTTATTTTGGGGATTAATTATGTAAAAGGTGTGAAGCAAAAGGGACTGCTATGAAAGTTTTCATGAAAATTGCAGGGAGCAACCTTATTAATGCACAAAACAATCAGTCACCTATATATCTAATTCATGAAGTCCTCATCTTCAGGTTGATTTTGCTGTGCAGCTCAAGAAGGCAACACTTTTTAGCAGCTGAGCTCTTGTTGGCAATCCATCATTGAATAAGCAGTGGTATAGGATTGGCTGCTCTTCCTTATGACAAAAACCGTAATCACAATTATTTTGGTCCATATAAATGGACTGAATGCTGAATGGTACTTATGTAGCACTTATCTGTTCTAACTGAGCACTCAAAGCATTTTATACTACGAACCTCATTCACCCAATCACATACACATTCATACAAATCAACACCTAAGCGGTTTTATCTAACATTCACACACACATGCCAAACTCTGATGGATGCGTCGTGACTGATCTTCTGATTGGTCGACATCTTGCTCTACATCCTCAGCTACAGCTGCCTCTATAAAACACAATCAAATAACACAATAATTGTTTTATCCCAATTGGATATATTGAATATAATTTTTGACTTTGACAACCTACAGTGGTATCATGGTAGCACAAAAAGCTTTAGGAAAAGATCCATTGGCTTTTCCACCCATGTCAACAAACATGCTAACATTTCTACCTGTTAGAGAGTAGTAACAGGTAAAAAAAAAAAAAAGGAAAAAAATAGAGAGTAGTAAGCTTGTTCCTACTTGTTTATGTCACAATATAACTGCAATTTTACTGAGAGAAATGGGGGGAAAGGGGGAAAAATGGTAACAGCCACTAAAAACGGACTATTATGTATCCCAATAGTGTTTTATTATAGTGCAGAGAGGCTGATAGGATGGTCATTCGATTTCTGACTACATTTAAGAGTCTTTGAGCAAAACACTGAACCCCAAGTCACTTCAGAATGTCTGTGTGAATGACTGCAAAGAGCTCTGCAGACACAGCTAAAGTTAAAAGGCATGCTAAGTGCAGACCATTTACCATTAAAAATTAATTATTTGGACTTTGGAAACCTTGACTTTAAACCAGCATTGACTTGAGGTCTGCAGAGAAAGATTATGTATTGCAAGCTTTAAAACAGTTTGACAGTTGGCCTTGAGTTGAGACTGTCTTGACAAAGTGTACTTTGATGCGTCACGGTGATCTTCATATTTGCCAATCAGTCTGTTAGCTGATACAGTAGGAGAAATCTGAGGATGGATTTTGGCCCACTCCTCTCTTTACAGAAACTATAATTCCTTCAGATTTCTTGACTGCCCATTGGCAACTTGCAGCTTCAGCTCCTTCCACAGATTTTCTACAGGACTGAGGTCTGGAAACTGGCTTTGGCTCAGTGTTTCTCTTCTCCAAAAACAGCGGGTTGAGTTGATACCAAAGGTTTTGGTTTCATCTGACCACACTGTTCACTGTTCAGTAGAAAACCTAAGACCGATCTTCACATGTTGCTTCTTGAGCAGGGGGGACCCTATGGCGTGTGTTATCAGTGGTTTTCTCGGGGACTGTAGTCCCAACTGCCTTCAGATCAGTAATAAACTCCACCTGTGTAGTTTTAGGCTGATCCACCACCTTTCTCATGATCATCCTCAAAACATGAGCCAAGATCTTACGAGTGAAGCTCCAGGAAAAGTGCAATTGATGGTCATTTTATATTTCTTTCATTAGCAAATAGTTGGACCAAGAGTTGTCACCTTTTCACCAGGCTTCTTGCTGATGGTCTAGTAGTATATCCCAGCCTTGTGCAGGTCTATAATCTTATCCACGATATCTTTTGACAACTCCTTGGTCTTTTCATAGTGGCGGAGAGGCTGGAAAGAAAGAAACTGACTCTGTGGACAAGTGTGCTTTATACACATAATTGAGATCAAGTGCCTCTGTTATTGGTTGCTTGGTTGACTGGTTGATTGATTGGTTGAATGATTATACGTATCATACTTACTTCACTCAATGCTATGCAAATCAATTTATAACTTTTATATAATGTGTTTCCTGGATTTTGGGGTGATATTCCATTAAAATGAAAATATCATAAAAACCTGAGACTGTTCATTTCTTTGTAGGTAACCAAACTTACAAATTCAGCAAGGGATCAAATATTTGTTTTCACTACTGAAGAGGACAATAGGTAAAAATCTATCCACATACATAAGTTAGTCATCTAGTTGACCTTGTGTGTTTCACTCTTTCTGCCCTGATCAGGAAGAAGATGTGGCACTGTGCATGGAGCAAGAGTCGGCCACATTGACTCCACCCACACAACAAGGGGATGCTTCTGGTGGCAGTAGTCCGGGGCAGCTGCCAGCAGAGCCAATCACAGAGCGGAAGTTGTCTGATGTCACTTCTGGTCTCATTCAGACACTAGAGGAGGAAGAGCCAGAAGAGGGGCCTCCTGCTTCTGTGGCAGCCAACTGAGTTTGTGGCAGACAAGAGACAAATGAAGAACTGACTGGGGAGTCAGCAAGAAATGAGCATAATAACACAATATATCTCTATTACTCTGTTCCTTTTCAGGTATCAAAACCACAACTTTTTTGGTTGCAAGGTCATTTCTTCAAAATGGTGAGAAATAGATTTGGTGGACTCCCAATAACAGTAGAGCTGATGCAACAATGGACACCTGTTTCTTTGCAAGCCTTACATCCCAAAGGTAACTGAAGAAAAAAAGACAGATGAAGGCGGAAGAGAAGCACCAACCGAGTGAATTATATCCACCGGGAAACTGCACTGAGACAAAAAAGAGGGGAATGGAAACATGCATGCTTTTTATGAGACAAGCAACTCAACCCTGTCATCATCTAATAATGATAATAGAAATCTAAAGTAATAAAAAAATAACAATAATTTTGTAATAAAAGAAACAAAAAAAAGGACAACAATCTATGTATAAGTGTATGATAAGATATGAGATTTCCAGTGGGAGAACTACACTGTTTACAGCTGTTATTCAACACATAAGATAGAGTTTAGTCAAATTTATTTCCCCATTGCATCAAACACATGCACTATACTTTACATCTGGCAACCCAAGCACTTTCACAGATGATTGAAGTAGGCCCAGAAAATCTCAGCATTTCAGTGAAATGCCGTTTTCCCCGAGGCACAATCCAGGGACAGGCTCGCCCTGCTGACTGGACACCCAAAAACCCTGCACAGATAAGGATTGTACTGTATACCGTGCTTCCTACTCTGTCTCTCTGTATGCATGTTTCTTCAGAGTACTATGGAGTACCTGTACTATACAGCACTGTATAGACTTTGCACTGAACCATAGTATCCCAGGTGTGGCCACAGTGGCCCTGCAGTGGGCCTGCGGTGGGTTTGAGCGGTGGCTTTCATGACTCAGAAATAAACACAGAGCTGCATATGTGAATCTCTTTTGCACTGATGCAATCCCAACAGATCAGAGGTTCCCTTTGGACTGTTGAGGTTACCCAGTTTCCGCTCTGAAAGCTTTCACCGACAACCAAAACCGAGCCACTTGACAACGCGAACCCTCAGCTGCTTTTTTTTTTCCATAGACGTAATCGCGATGAATAAAGGATGATAACCACTATTTTGAATGTACTGGAAGACAGGCGGCAGTACACGAGTGCTGCTTTGATGCCTCCTCCGTGGTCCACAAGAGAGAGAAGGGAGCGCTGTTCTGTTTTGTGAAACAAAAACAAGTGGGGGAGTCTTTCAACCATGTTGGAAAGTGGATTCACTGCTGGCTCACCAAGACCACAACAACACACACGCACACACAGATATGAATATCTAAATTGTAACCAGCAATAGGCAGGCGAGACACTGGCTTCCCAGATCAGTGTCAGCTCTGTCACAAATATGTAAATATTCTGAGTAAATAAAGAAATTGCCTCTCGCTCACAATCACAACTGTTCTATTACAGTATGATTTCTTTATTTTTGTACACCTCTTGGGTCCCACCTTATTTTGGGGATTGCTCTCAAACTCACAGCTTAGCCTAGCAAAGTTTAGTTTTTTCTTCTTCTGTGTGCAACAACACAAAGACAAAATCGGAGGAAATGGGAGGGATGTTGTGTTTTAAGTTGGGTGATCGAATCAAACCGAGGGGCATTCAACTCGCTGAGACCATCGGCGGTGGAAAAAGTTTGGCGACGGCGACAGGAGGTTGCCATTCAGTCAGCCAATCAGGGAATAGAGCGGACGATAAGGACTGAACACTGGAGCTGAAAAGATCGGTGTCTTCCTGCTCATCGTTCTTACTGTGAAGCAGCTGCCTGGATGTTTGACAAGCATGGTTTATTTTTTGTGGGTTTTTGTTTTTCTTTCACTGGAGGAAGGACGGTGTTTGCTAGCGAGACGTGGAGTTAAACAGCGGCGGTGAACAAAGTGGACTTTCCGTGCATGGCTCACTGACAAAACTTTACGACACTACAAAACCACTGTTTTCTCTGTTGGAGGAACACCTTCTCTCACTTTGATGATTGTGTGAGAAACTTTTAAGATGATAAGATATATGGTTTATTGACTTGAATGAATTTATTTATTGATTGCTTCTTTATGCAATGTTGGGGACAATGTTTATTTTTCTACTGACCTGCTGAATTCTGAGTTAGAGTAGGTGTCACGGCTGTGAAGCACTCTCGTTTTGTCTGGTTTTGAGCACTTTAAACCAAGAAGAGATGGAGCAGTTTGGCAGCTCACTGTTTTTAAAAACTTCAAGAATTTCAGTAGTGCCAGGTGACAAAAACAACTTGAAGACTGCTCAAAACTGCAAACAGAATGTCTTTACGCAATGGCAAATATTAATTTATTTATTGAAAAATTACTTGGTGGGGAGGAAAAATAAGACATCTTGTACAGAGTATAATTTCACATGGGTACCAACCCTTCTGGGAGCAGTATCTTTTTTTTTTAATGAGTCAGATGACGTAATGTGGTGGAAAGACCAATGCTTTATATATATTTCTTTGACCATCGCAGCTTATTTGGGCTTGACTGTTTGCTAATAAGCTACATCACAAGGAAACATGCATGAACTCCATTATAGACACTGCTTCGCTTTGGGTTATTTTTATTTATTTATTTATTTATCTATCTATTTATTTTGTGTTGTTGCTTTCTTTCTTTTTTTTCTTTTTTAAATTAAATCTCAATGAATGAATAAACAAATAATAAGAAGCCAAAAATATTTCTGTGGATGTTAAGGTTTACTGATCACATCTTTGTTAACCTGCTGGTTTGCAGTTGAGTCACTCTTTTTGTATTTCTACTGCCATCTTCCAGTTACAGTTACAACTTGTCTGCAGGCATGATGCTCAAAACCTGCTTCTGGTCCTCTGCCTTGCTCCTTCTCTTCCTTTCCGTCTATCTCTTTGTATCTGCTCTGTATATTTGTGTCTGTCTGTATGTCTGTCTGTGTACAGTAAGATGTCCACTGTCTTGTTGGAAAAATCACTGCCAAAAAAAGAGAGAAAAAAAACAGAAAAATAACTTGACGTTTTCAGATCAGTCATAGGGAATTTGATAATTATAATCTGGAAGTGTCTGGCAAAAAAAGTAACTGCTGTATAAAACGCTGTATAAAATTGGATGGCTTCTGTAAAAGTCTGCATAAAATTGGATTTGTTTGAAATGAGGCAGTGTGACTGGTGATACCAGTGAACACTTATAACACTCCCACCTATGCATGCTTGTTGGATGGCTGTCACAGGATGGTTCTTCCGTGCTCCCCCCTCTCTCTCTCTTCTGTCAACTCTCTGTTTCTTCCCGTTTCTCTTCCTTTCCCCTCTTTTTCCTGCACGACCTCCTATTGACCCTCCGGCTCCTTTTACCTGCCTCCTCTCCTTTTCCTCTGGTGGAGAAAGAGCAAATAAACAAAACCAACAAACGGCAATTCTTGTGCACACGTGTGGTTATGTTTACATGTTTTCACAGGTTGGAAATAATTAGATTCTCACATGTTCACCTCCTTTCTCTCAAGAGCTTAGTGAGTGGGGGGTGTCTTTTTCTTTTTTGGACTGACAGTGGGTGTCTGCGACCATGTGCTTGACAGGCAAAAACAGCAGTCACAAGGAGCTGGCAGCAGAGTAATCCAGCCTGTCATGCTTTTCCAAAAACATCCCTCTCCAGTCCTTATCAGGGACTTTTATGCCAGGAGAATATTAACACAGCCAGGCCTCCTCCATAGGGACTAACTGCTGATTTGTTCAAGCTCACATAGGAATCAGAGGCTGGAACACACTGCTGACCTTCACAGCACAGAAATCTTTATATGCATGCAGATGTTCTCTTTTTAGACTTTTTTTTATTACCCTCCTTTTCTTGACGTAGTATATCCCAACAATTACAAAACTAATTTGTACAAACATTAATGCTCCTCAGTGGATAAATAATTGTGTTCCACTTAAGATTTACTTTTACTGAATGTGGAGTATTTAAAAAAATATGAAGTACGCTTATATCATGTATAGATGTAATATATACTCTATAGATACATGTTGTAATTTTCAACAACTTATTATACTTTGGGTTGTTTAATCTGTGATCTATACACCTTGCAGTAATTATTAAGTTGATAACTACATTATGGAACCCAGAAACTCCAAACCAAAGCTCAACACTAAAAACTGTGAGCGCCTTAAGAAGTTGCTTTGCAGATGCTAATGTTACCGATGCTAAACATGAAGTCATGGGAGTGACATACAACAAGACAGTTTTTAATTTAAATTTAACCTTTATTTAACCAGGAAAATCCCATTGAGATTAAAAACCTCTTTTTCAAGGGAGACCTGGCCAAGATAGGCAGCAGCAAGTTACAGATTTTTTCCAAAAATTGCCAAAATGTCAATAAGATGGCCAACCTTTTCTCAGATCCTGCAGATTAAAAAGTCTGTCAAATTTTAGAAAAATGTCAGTGGTGATAAAATTGTGCGTTTAAAAAAAATAGTGGGTTCAGCAGCAGGTTAGAGAGAAACGCTCCCCCACGCACACTAAATTTGTCCACTCCAGCTCTGAAGTTTCTGTCTATTTACCTTATAATTATGATAATTATTAATACTATCCCTCTTTGGCTTTTTTGTGACAAAAAATTGCATTGCTTTACAATAACTGTGTCAAACAACAGATCCGTGCTATGAGATAATATAGAAATAGAGTACTAAAGGTGAGTACAACCGTGCTAAAGAACACTACTTCAGTAACAGCACACTGTTGCTCTCTGCTGCTGACATTTTCCTAATGTTTGCATGCTAACAGACCAAACTAAAGCCAGCTCAGGCTAAACTTGAAGGTGATAATGTTACTAAAACCATCTGAGTACAGTGTCTTCAAATAAACCTGATAAATATAGAAGATTTCTCTTTATAATTAAAAATGGATTTGCAGTTAGCTGGATAAAGTTTTATTTGTTTTATTAGTTGTTTTATCTTCTCGCTGATACAGGATTAAGTAAACTGGGGGTGCTGCAAAATTGCTGTTTCAGACCATAAAGTCAAATCAATCATTCTCCAAACTTTTGTTTTCCATCTGCTAATCTCAACCTTCTATAAAAACATTTCCTTTTGAATGTGTTAAATATTTCTTCAGTGACAAAACCCACATTTTCAGCATTGCATCTCAATCCAGAAACAAATGAAAATATATTTATTTTAGCATTTAGCTGGAAGCACTGCTGCATCCAGCCTCACTGAGAAAGATATTTAACAGCAGTAAAGAACTCAAATAAGTTAGTGGACAAATATAGTATTTATTATTTTTTAAAAATTACAAACCAGTAATAATGATTTAGATTCACAATACAGAAAATACATAATAAACATGTTATAACAAGTTATAATTTTAAATTAACCTCAATCAGTAAACTTTAAATGTGTGATCTCTTTGACCCATCAGTCAAATTAATTAAGTCTTAATCACTATATTATTTCATTATAATACAATTCTTTACTGTCAGCTACCCTACAGGTACTTAAAGGTATAATATGCAGGATTTTCCTAAAACAGTAAAATCTCTCAGTTTTCCTTTACTGTTGTATTTATCTGCACAGACTGATTTAATATATTCTGTTTTTCCTGTTTTCTGTACATTCCTGGGTTGCAAGCATTGGGCAATGATTGTGTAGCCCCCAGCTAATAACAACAGGAGGGCGGGATTACATCACTGCCTCTATTTCTTTCCTCATAAATATTATAAAAGAGCTGTTGTGATGTTAGTTTTCATTGCATGTTTTCATTACACCAATATCCAAAATAAGAAAGAAATTTTAATAATTAGACTGGAATAACTACTACTGACTGGCACTCATGTTTTTATGGTTTCCAGTGTCACACACTGGGCAGTAGCTACTTAAAAACCACAGAAAGTATTAATGCAATGTTATCTGGTAATGTTATCATACGTGTTATAGTCATTGTCAACACCAGTTTATAGCCTAGAGCCACACCTAATTCACACTAAATTAAGAAATGCAGCACCTTCCCTGCTGACTTGTGTGATTTCTGCTTCAGAACTCAATCATTGTAAAACAATTAGAAAATTATGCTTCATTGCTTTTTTCTTGCTAAAGCTGTTCCCTCCATCCTCATTCTCAAGGCCAAGTTTACAATAACTGACCACTGCTGCATATTATACCTTTAATGACATTAACAGATCTTAATACATGTGAAAATCAGCTGTTTTCGGCATTTCAGAGATACGCTTGGAAGATTGAACTTCAGTGAAACGGTTGTCAGCAGTTCAGAAGACACGGGAAAGCACCTGAGATTTTAAAGAGTGGAAAAGTGAAACTATCATCAGAATAGAAAAAAAATATCCTGTACTAAAAGTTTCTTGAGCTTTGTGTGCACCAGTTCCTCCTGCCCACCGAGAGCTGAATGTCTGTGACAGCTGCAGGTGGCTTTGACTCCTCCATCTAAACTGCAGCTTTGTCTTTTCGGAAAAGGAGTGACATTAAAAGAAGGTAAAAGTTTTTCTTCTTGAAAGCCACTTCTCCTAAATGGGCTCATCAGAGTCCTCGCTCTCCCTCTCCTCCTGCAGGGAGGACAGTGTGAGGACAGGGCTTGTGGCTGACATGGGAGAGGCAGGGGCTGACGGCGAGGTAGAGGAGGAGGTGGAGGGGGATGCTGCCTCCTGAGCAGGGCCTTCGGCCCCTCTTGTGGAGGTGGAGCTACTATTGCTCTCCATGGTGCTGGGGAAAGAGGAAGCAACGTCACACCCAGGAGCTCCTCTTGAAGGCTTCCCTCGGGAATCATCTTTGGACTCCCTCCTCACCAGCTCCCCTTCCCTTCTGCTACCCTCCCCCCACAGGTCTCTGTCCTGTGTTGGCGAGGAAGTGGTGGATGAGGGAGGCTGGTGCTTCTTGGCTTTCCTACTGGTGTCTCTGAAACTGGCCAGAGGAGGACGAAGCCTCACCCCGCTCCGAGTTGAGCCCTCTATGGCTTTCTGCAACTGTTACAAGAGTGAACGAGGTTTAAACATCCACAGAAGCAAAAAAAAAAAAACCCCAAACATACCACAAAGCAGAGCAACAACATAAGATCATTAAAGTGAACATCCAGCGAGATGAGTTGTGAGGGCGGTTAGTGGAATAACTGCATGAATCAGAGCGTAAAGAATGATGCACGCGGTGACAGAACAGCTCACAGCTCGTCGTGCCACATTACCGGATCAAATCCAGAGAGGTGACAAAAAACAAGCTGATAAATTAAAACAAAATGAAAAGCAAAAAGTGACTTTACCTCATTCAGTGCCACAACACCCACCAGCTTACCAATGCTGGTGACATAGGCGTGACTGAGACCCAGCAAGGAGAACAGAGTGTGGGTCTGAGTAATGAGAGAGAAGAGAGAGGACACGATCCAGTCAGTGTTAGATGTGCTGTACTGTGACAGTGTTCTGCTTGCATGACTGCACTGTTTCTCATAAGCAATTTTTCTGCAACAAAAGAGGAAACGCATGGCTTTGCTACATAGATGCATAATAAAAAAAATTCAAGTTTCAAAGTTTTATCATATGGACAAAGAACAAACAGGGCGTTCTGTGTGTTCAGACTCTTAGGCCAAGCTGAAATAAGTCTAATGTTTCATCACAGC